TTCGGTTTAAAGTTTGAAGAAGGTATTCCCATATTATGTGACAACAAGTCAGCAATAGCAATTGGAAGGAATCCGGTACAACATAGAAGAACGAAGCACATCGAGATCAAGTATCATTTCGTGAGAGAAGCCGAGCACAAAGGACTCATTCAACTTGAGTATTGCAAAGGAGAAGATCAACTCGCGGATATACTTACCAAGGTTTTAAGTGTTACAAGGTTTGAAGATCTTAGAAGGAAGCTTGGAGTGAAGCCGAGATATGATTAAGGGGGAGTGTTGAAGGATAATCAAATCTCGTATCATATCACATTTACATAAGTTAGTTATTTGTTCAAGAGACACAAGTTGTTTTGTTTTACAGTTGTGTCTTTAGATCAAAGAGTCATGTCTTTTTATTATTACACAAACACAATGTTTCGTTTCATATAAGTATAGATCGAGTCTTTGTTTTTTACATATACAACAGAGTGTAATACAAACAAGTTTCAGATTCAATAAAAAGTTTTTTCGTTTACTTTTCTTCTTTAGAAGAGTCTTATCTCTTACTCTGTTTTTTTATCCTCTTCAAAATACCAACAATTCCGGCATGATAAACCGTTGAAGTGTGGCTTCGGTGGCTCCATCAAAAGCCACCGCGAATCCATTCTCGGGAAAGTCCGGTGAGAGTGTTCGTGGATCTTTGCCGAAGGTTAAGCCGCAAATGTTATCGAATGTGAGCCGTAAAAGAACATCTTGAAGATCGATCGGCTCAGCTCGACTCATAGCCGATTCAAGAATCGGCACGAGACGGTTCTTGATGGCTCGATCAACCCAACGAGCCATGGCTTGGCGAAGCGTACGTGTAGTAAAGTCCAATGCAGCCGTCTTACGCTGAAACCGCCACGTGTCACCATCTGAATTAAAGATCCCATCTCCTAATAGATCGTGGAAGACTGATTGCCAGCTAGGACCCTTCGGGTAATTATCGAACCGGGACTTCAAAATATGCTCCAGATTCTTCGGGTCACACGTAACAGTCACGTGACCTTGTTTCTTAGCCAAGAACGGGATCGGGAATATGCACGTTTGGTACGTACCGCCGCACATGCGGAGGTTATCGGCGATGAAGTCGTGCATGCGGTGAGCATTTGTGATGAGTGCCGGAAGACTGCCCACTAAGGGCCAGACACGTGGACCTTTATATGAACGACGTAAAGAAACGAACCATATAAGGTAGGTTACGATGAGGGTAAGGATGATCACAGCCGTTGATCCATCCATATTTTTTTAATATTATGGTATGGAAGTGAGAGCAGAGAGAAGAGAGAAGAAGAAGTGTGTGTGGAATGGAAGATAATCGTATTAATTTTTTATAGATTAAAATATAATGTGAAAAAAGAAAACTATGAGCAATTAATAAGGCAACTAAGTTTGTTGTTGATAATTTTACCCAACCAAAAAATTTGGGACGTGTAGTTGCATTTGCATGTCATGTGTGTAATTTGTTTGTGTAGAGTGTTGTGTTTGTCATTGTGTTTATCATAGCCTAATATTGTATACATTAATTCCAATGTTCAAAAAATTAAAGCGCTAGATGCTAAGCGGGCGGTGACCTAGTGCCTAGCGCCTAGAACGCCTAATCGGGGTCTAGGCGATTTTTAGGCGGTTTAAACGTTTTTAACATAAAACATTATACATATGATATTATATATAAAAGTTATATAAAATATCTATATAAAACTAAAAATTATGAAATTATAAACAAAAACTAGATAAAACATTTATTATATATATATATATATTAAACAATATATGAATATTTATAACTATAGATATATAAATAAAACTTAATTGAAATTGAAAAAATACATTAAACAAAATCTATGTAACTTTAGGCGGTCAATGCGGTTATCTAGGCGTGGCATGAGAGCCTAGCGCCTAATCGGGGCTTAGGCGACCGCCTAAACCGCTTTTTAGAACACTGATTAATTCACCTACAATATCTAACTATTTATTTTTTTTCTTATGAGTTTCTCCGTAATCATCTTCCTAACTAAACACATGATTTTATTCAGGCGAAAATTGTTTAAGTAAAAGTCTATAGAGTCCTAACCTAAAATATACAGTATTGATAAATTATATACTGTAATGTCAAAATGTTTTGAATGATATGTTGATGGGACAAGTTGATATTGTTATAACCATATATATGTGTTGATATTGTGTGATACAAAAATATATTCATAATATGGCAACATTAATGACAGCTATAATCTGGCAACATAAATTAATGGTAACTTACAGCTCTAGGGGCCAATGCCATTAGTGCCACTTAATAAATAACATGATACATGAATCATATAATTCCTACTTTTGTTTTGGCAAAATATAATCCCCACGCGTGATTAGAAAAAATTCTGTCGACCTATAATATATCCTCCACAAGAACACAATAAGGACTGTTTAGAAAAGTAGATACTTTTTAAAAAGTAATTTGCAAAGTAGGTAGTTTTTTTAAAAATTAGAGAAATAGACACTTTCTTACTTTTTTGTGAGATAGAGCTTTTGTCTAATAGACTAAAAGACAAAATACACATCAAATACTAAAATATCCCTTATCTTGAGAGAGAAGAAAAAGAATATGAGGGACCATTTTTATTTTGTTATTTTATTCTTTATCTATTTGTTTTTTTTGTCTTGAATAATTATTTCTAAAGATATTTTTTTTAATCACCTTGATTTTTATATTTTCATGGCACTATTCTCATACACAAACACTTCAAAAACCGTTTAGTACACTAACACTTGTACACCGATATTTCATAAATCATCAAGTACACCGACTTGTCTCCTACTTATAAATTGAAGTAATAATTGTTCAGAATATTTGTACAAACATGGTGATTGTATAAACCAAATATTATATTCAATATGATAGTGTACATGATGGTGTACATAATTAAATTACTTTTGATGGTGTACATAATGAAGTAAACCATTATGATGTACGAGATTGGTGGATAGAATGGTGTACACAACTTTTAAATGACAACATACGAGATTGGTAGATAAAATGTACAAAACTTGGTGTACACTTATAGGGAATGTATAAACTATTATTTCAATTTACTGGTGTACATCTTCTCGTACACTGATGTTTGTACAAAATATGTGAAGGTGACGATGTCGTAGACGGTACAAAAGGTGGTGTATGGTGCGACCCACTATCACATCATTTCATGTACACTATTAATATTGTGTACACCATACTTTACAACATCTTCGTACACCATCGTATTATGTAGTTATACACTATTATAAATTGTTATCTGTACACCACCTTGTACACTATCATACTTTGTATATCACCTTCTAAAATCAGTATCATACATTACTTCTTATATTTTTGACGTACACTACCGTTTGCACACCACCGTTTATATTATTACGTACACCGTCAGATTAAGATCAAATAATAAAAAAAATGTTACGTATCCGCAAATATAGCAAAATTAGACTTTTTAAATGCACATAAATTTTTTAAAGATTAAGATGTTATTGTGGTAACTTATTTTATGAAGAATTTCTAGCAAAACAAACTAAAAGTATTTAAGTGAAAATAAGAAAGAAAAAGAAAAAAATATTTGACTTTAAGTCAATTTTGTCATTATCTAACAAAACAACAAAATAATAATAGGTTATATAAGTCATATACTAAAATCTCTATTACACAAAAAGTTGTATTAGAGAAGAAAGAGAAAAATGTCTACTTTTTCAATTTCTAAAAAAACTACCCATTTTACAAATTATTTGTTGAAAAAGTGTCTACTTTACATAATTTCTCACACAATAATTCAGAAAAAGGTTAATAAAACAAAATTTCGTGTTTTGATAATTGATAATAATTATATCTCAACGTCAAGTCTCGTTTACTAGACTTCACTTCATTGTGTAAATACTTATTTTATGTTAATGTATCATTTTTTTGGTCAAAGTTATGTTAATGTATCATTCTGATATACTTATCAAAATACGAAAAAACATGTATAAATGCAGTAAAGTTATAAAATAGCACCATAAAAGTAATCGATTAGTCACAAAGTTTGATTAAAAATGTGTGTATATCATTGACATAGAATAAGTACTAAATGCTCTAAATCTTATTCTTTGTTGGCTATGAATGATAGAGAAACAATATTGAGATTTGAGGAAAGCGGCACTTCAACTTAAAATACGGCATTAATTGGGTTTAAAAGTGGGGGTCGTTATTTCTTTTCCAATCTTCGTACTATTTTCTTTTGTTTTTCACATTATGAGACTCGACATATTTAACCTTTGTGCTTCATCGCTGTCAAAAAAAGAATAAGAAAAAATGAACATTGTCATTCACTAATTAAAAGCTATAAGTACACATCCTTAAGAAATTAAGATATTCAAGATGTCTTTGCCTTACGGCTCTTACCGATCTAATTAGTCTTAGTTGGATTTCTATTTGTTTATCATATTTTAATCTCTCAGTAAACTCATTGTCAATACTCACATATTTCCAAGCAAAATTGCGTGAAACAGATCAGGAGCCTCACGATCCTGTCAAGAATTTTTTGCTTGAAACTGGATCTCTTGCAGGAGAAAAGTAAGGAAAGAGATCAGCAAGAGATATTGACAAGAGACTCAATTGGAAACACTAAGTAAAATTAAGAACTTTATCTCTTTTGACAAAACACTAACCAAATCTCTTTCAACCATATTCGTCTAATCCGTCAATTTCCTTACTTTGGTTAGTGTTTTGTCAATATATGAGCCAGAAAAAACCAAGTTAATTATTTGAGCCAGAAAATAATTCAAATTAAGAACTTTATCATATACATATTTGGTTAATAACCAAATCTATAGTAAAAAACCATAAAAAAAGACAAGTCTGAGATCTTCTCTGATACTAACAGTTAGAATATCTGAAGTTGAACGGAAACAAGATTCACACTCAATCAAAGAAGATGACAATCAGCTTGAGAGAGAAGAGATATGGAAATTTGATTTACTATTTCTGTTAAATGTAAACGAAGATGTAGAAAGAGAGATTATATGCAATTATCATCTATCCGGTACAAGCTGGTTTTCTCTAAATCAAACCATTGATCTTGTATTAACATAACAATGAAATACACCAAGCACAGTGTCAGTCATCCTCATGTAATCATTAGAAAGTAATGTAAGTACATAATTCACCTCACAGATGCTTCGAAGGAAAGATGGTTGCTCTACACCCCTTCTCTTGGAGATAAACTGTTCTAAGAAAGCATACCGAGAAAGCTTTTGTCTAATCTCCCATCATACAACATATTAGTGACCAAGCCAAAGGTTGAAGCATCTCCAACAAACCCGCGATTCCTCATTTCTTTGATGAGTTCTGCTGATCCAGGTTTGTCCCCATCTCTAAGGTGTGCCCTAATTAGCGTATTATATATACCGCTATCTGGAAGAGGCCCATCTTCTTTCATTTTATTGAACAAGGCATCTGCTTCCCCCCTTAAACCTTTCCTACAAAATCCTGAGATCACTGAAGTGTAGGTTATAACATCAGGCTTCACTCCTTTAAGGCTGAGGCTACAAAATAGAATCCACCCATCTTCTATCTTCCCAGCCTTACACATCCCTTCAATCATAATATTATATGTGATGATATCAAGTTCCATTTTACTCTTTTGCAGATCACGGAATATGACCAATGCTGTCTCTAGCTTCCCGTTATTACAAAGTCCATCTAGTAAGATATTGTATGTCATAATACTGGGAGATCTACCAACTGAAACCATCTTTTTGAAAACTTCTTGGGCATTATCACAATCTCCAGCTTGAAAAAACCCTTGGATAAGAGTGGTGTAAGTGACTGTGTCTCCAACCAATCCTCTTTGGGACATCTCGTAGAAGAGTTCCATACCATCCTCTACCCTTTTACACTTGCAAAATCCCTTTATAAGAGTACTATATGTCACTACATTTGGGAGACAATTCTTGCTAACCATGAACTCAAACATATGCTTGGCCTCATCTAGGAGATCGTGCATACAAAACCCGTTGATCAATGAATTGTAAGTGATAGCATCAGGATCTATAGACCTTTTGATCATCTCCTTGTACAATTTATCAGCCTCTATAAGCTTTCCCTCCTTGGCAAATGCATCAATCAATGCATTGAAAGTAACGATGTCGGGGTTGATTTCCCTCTCAATCATATCACTAAGTAATCGAGAGGCATCGCTCCATCTTCCGTAATTACAAAGGCAGCTAATGAGGGAGTTATAGGAATAAACATCTGGTCGAGTGCCTTTGTTCTCCATTTCATTGAATAGGTCAAGTGCATCATTCACATGTTTGTATTTGCAAAGACCATCAATGACTGTGTTGTAGATCACAACATCCGCCTCTATGTTCCCTTTCTCCATCTTCTTGAGCAAACTTAAAGCCAAATCAGTATCACCTTTCTTACATAACCCATTTACTACCGTACCATAAGTAACCAGATCTGGTTGAAAACCTTTGACAACCATCCAGTCAACTAATGCCACTGCTTGGGATGCTTTGTTGTGGAGAAAAAGCCCATGAATTAGAGTGTTGAATGTGAATAAATCGGGTTGATATCCCATTTCCACCATCTGGTGAACCAGAGCTACAGCATCTGAAATCTTATTCCCGTGGCAGAAACCATTGAGCAGGGAGTTAAGCGTGACAAGATCGGGCTCATAACCGAGTTTAATCATCTTGCCAAGAAGAGATAAAGCAAGAGAGAGTTGAGAGCGGCGGCAGAAAGAGTTAATCAAAATATTGTAAGTATAGAGATCATGAGCAATTCCCAAGTTTTGCATCTGCTCAACGAGAGAGATGACAAGATCAAACTTGTTCATCTTAGCAATGGCACTCAACAATTTATTGAACTCAATAATGGAAGGGAAAGGACGAGACTTGACCATGTAACCAAACAAATCAACAGCTTCGTCTAACTTTATATCCTGTAATTTCCCATTTCTACTCAATTTATCTCTGTAATCATAGCAAAGAGCAGGAGCAGCAGTTCCAGGATTACCTTTCCCCAGAGTATGCCGATGCAGAAATCTCTTCCCCGTAATCGTAAGCGATCTCCTCATCATCTTCTCACAATCAATTTTTGCTTCAGAAATGAATCTCTCGTTAGAATTACAACCCTAGAAGTCTCCGTTTTTGGAATCTATATATATAATGGGAGAGTTTTATAGAAAGCAATTCATTTCTGGAAAATAGACATTTAAAATTTGAGTACCGATTAAAAAATAAAAAGAATTTAGAACATATTATTATTTATAATTATAATATAATATATATTAGTATATTTTCTATATTATTAATTTTTTCTAAATTAAAAAGTGAATACCTAAAAAAGAAAAACTAAATATTAATTAGTGTTTAGAAAATTAACATAGATTGAAAAAAATTAAGGTGATTTGCAATAATAAAAAAAACTATCCTGAACTTCAAAAATAAAAATAAAATAATCTTATCGAGTATTAAAACTGTGTAATAATAATATTTGAGAATGCTATTTGGAAATTAGAATAGTAATGGTAGATAGAAGAGTTTTTCATTAGAAATAAGGGAAATTGTTAAAAATACCCCTTTTGGTGTGCCTCTTTTCAAAAATGCCCCTTTTAGATGTCCATTTTAAAAAATGTCCCTTTTTAAATCTGAAATTTTTATAAAGTTTTATTAGGTTTATAAGGTACTTATGGATTGTAACTACTACTTGAATACTCGATCCAAGTATTTATAAAATTTTATAAGGTGTTTTTAAAGGTTTTACAAGTTATTTTAAAGAATTTTTAAGGTTTTTCAAAGGTTTTACAAGATATTTTAAAGGTTTTTAAAAGTATTTAAAATGCATTTATAAGGTATTTATAAAGTATTTATAAGATTTTAGATACATAGAAATGTAGTTTGTGTATGTTTTAATAATATTACATACATATTTGGGTAAATCTTATATTTTTAAGAGCATTTTTTATAAGGTTTTTTAAAAAGGGTATTTTTGAAAAGTGGCATTGAAAAAGTGGCATTTTTGCAAAAGCCCCTAGAAATAAAAAGGATTTTTTAAAAAATAAATAAATGTATTTTAAAATTAGAATAATTTTTATGAGTTCGTAAGTGTCACATTAAGAATACTTTCTAGAATCATAATATACGTTAAATTATATATGTAGAAAGAGATTTTTGTATTTTTCAAATGGTCAAGATAAAGTGCAAAATTTCACGTTGAAATCCTATGTTTACGAATAGGAATGAGTCTATGAAATCTATTTTCTATAAAGCAATTTTAGATGCACCAAAACATGGTAAAAAAAAGCTTTATGATAAACATCTCCTCAGATTTCTGTTCACTTTAATAAAAAGATCATGAAACTTAAAAAAAAAAAAATTGAGTATCGAATGATAAGAAGGAGAAAATAGAAATGATCTAAAGAGAAAAGAGAGTAGATGTTGGGAGACGACGAGTGAATCATAGAAGATAACGAAAAATATTGTAGTGAAAAATGTGAGAAACGTTTTACTATGTTGGAGAAACTTTATATCTTACTCATATTTAAACATGAAACTTTTGAATTGAGATTAGAGAAATATAAAATTAGATAATTATATCTTAACATATAATGCGTAATTATTTTTAAATAGTTAGAGATAAGAAAACGGAAACTTATCATATATTTTAATGGAACAACAATCACTTTTAAGAATTACAATTATTTAGTAGAATAAAGAAAGTAAGAATTAATAAATACCAAATCTATATATATATAATGAGAGAGTTCTCTCTCCATCTAAGGTGTCCACATCAACATCCATGTCATCACATTTTATTATTTTGGTAGGATCCATATATCTTACTAGATTGTTACCCGCGGTACACCGCGGGTTAATTATTTGATTTTTTTGTTTTTTTATAAACCGATGAATTTGTTGTATATAATATTTTTTGTTGTACATTGCGAGTCACATGCGTTGTAACTAAAAATGAAAATTTTAAGTTGTATTTGTTTTGTTTAGTGTTTAAAATTGTATAATTGTATTTTGATGTTTGACAAAAAAAAAATTGTATTTTGATTTGTTAATCCCAGGATTTCACCCGTGATATATTATCCCGTATTAATATCAATCCAAATCCGACCCGTCCCACCATATAATCATGTCCCGTAAAATCAAACATCATTTTGTTATTTCTTTTAATAACACTTTTATTTAAAAGACATATAATTTGAGTCAATTTAAAAGTTTGCTTTAAAATAGTTTCTATAATATATATATATATATATATATTTTTCAAATTAGTGTGTGTTTTTAGACCAACCCGTAAAAATATTTTAAAAATGTATATTAAAATACTAAATAATTGTATTTCGATATGTTAATTTTAAGATTTCACGTGGTATATTATCCAGTTTTAGATAATTGTAGAAATTAAGAAAATATCTGAATGACTCAATTCCAGGTCAGAGTAAAAAAAAAAATACGACCTGATTAAACGCGCAAATTTGTTTTTCAAAAATGTTAATATAGATTGTACACATACTTTTTTCTTCATCGATTGAGTAATATATGTCCGTTTTAAAAAATTTGAATCATAGCATATGCAGAAAAAAATCGAATTTTTTTATTAAGTATATATATTTTATAATAGTTCAAAATAATATAAATATAAGATCATATAAAAGTGAAATGAGAATCATATATTTATGTTTTAATTAGGTAGAGAGGTTTTAGGAAATTAGTTCAAATATGTTATATTAGCATTAAATAATCATATTTGATTTCTATATCTATAAAAATTGTAGAGAATATGCCATAAATAAAGAGTTTAGGTATAATAATTAGTTGAGAAAATATATATTTTTTAGATTTTATTGATTAATTTTCGTTTTTTAGTTTTGTCAAAAATAAGGAAAGATCCGATTGAAGATTTCCGGGTCAAAATTAAACAAAATTTGACCCGATTTGGGTACCCCAAAAACTGCTGCAAAAATGTATAGTAGATTTATTAAGAAAAACATATTAAAATAAATTAATTCACATACTTTATATTATTACCCTCCATTTAAAAAAAAATTACAAAAAAATTAAATATGAAAAAACGGAAAAACAAATATAAAACAGATAATGAATAATTATATCTTACTCATATTTAAACATGAAACTTTTGAATTGAGATTGGAGAAATATAAAATAAGATAATTATATCTTAACATATAATGCGTAATTATTTTAAAATAGTTAGTGATAAGAAAACGGAAACTTATCATATATTTTAATGGAACAACAATCACTTTTAAGAATTACAATTATTTAGTACAATAAAGAAAATAAGAGTTAATAAATACCAAATTTAAAGGTTCTTACTTAATAAAAAAGTAATTTATTTCTAAAAAAAAAAAATTAAAATTTGAGAATATATTTGTTAAGGTTAAAGTATCAATTCCTTATACCGGTTAAAAAATAAGAAGGATTGAGTACATATTATTGTTTATAATTATAATATAATATAAATAGTTAAATTAAGAAATTTGTCTCTATTATTAATGTTTTCTTAATTAAAACATGGAGGGTTTTATATAAAAAATGAATACCTAAGAAGAAAAACTAAATAGTAATCAGTGTTTAGGAAATTAACATAGAATGAAAAAAAATTAAGGTGATTTGAAATAAAACAAAGACCTATGTTTTAGTAATGGTATATTGAAGAGTTTAATAAAACTGTGTAATAATAATCTAATCGAATAATAAAATTGTGTAATAATAATATTTGAGACTGCTATTTGGAAATTAGAATATTAATGGTATATTGAAGAGTTTTTTAATTAGAAAGAAGAATGATTTTGTTTTTTTTTTTAAAAAATAAACGTATTTTAAAATTAGAATAACCGGATTGAGGACGAACGGCGAGGTAGACAATGATTGTGGTTGATTTACTCTTACTTTGTTTTGTTATTTCAGTTTCCCTGTTTTTGTTTTACTCTGTTTCTAGCAAACTCTTTATTTGTTTCAATATTAAGACGACAAAAAAAAAAAAAATAGAATAACTTATGATTTCGTAATTTACATATTTTAGAAAAAATCAACACTAAGAATACTATCTAGAATCATAATATACGTCAAATTATGTATGTGAAAAGAGAATTTTATATCTTTCAAACAGTCAAGATAAATGAAAAACTTGACGTTAAAATCCGATGTTTGTGAATAGCAATGAGTTTATATATGAGATTTGTTGTATACAAAAGAATTTTACATCCACCAAAACATGGTCAAAAAAACATTATGACAAAACATTTCATAAAATTTTCTGATGTTCACTTTAATAAAAAGATTATGCAACTTATAAAAAAAGAATTGAGTATTCAAAGATAGGAAGGAGAAATGATATACGATATATCTTGAGAACTAATTCACAATCGAGTATATTATATATGAGTCAATATAAGGCGAAAAGAGAGTAAATATCGGGAAACAACGACTGAATCATAGAAGATAACGAAAGAAATTGTAATGAAACGTGTGAATTTTTTTTTACTATATTGGAAAGATAATGCACATGAATAAAGTAAAAAATATTAAATTCAAATGATTAGATTTATACTCAAAGATTTAACATAATCTAGTTTGTTAAATTTGAATCAAGTTGTTTAGAAATCATCCGATTATATTGGAGCCGGTTCACAGAAATCTGGTTATTTAGAAACTACCAATGGGATTTCCAATCAAAGGGGTTTATCACCAACTTTTTCTCTTTACATTGAGTTCCCTAATTACCACTCCCCCAAAGATTTCTACAAAAGGCTTTTTTAACCACTTCAAGAAAACAGCTTTTTCTTAACCTCTAAACTAAACCAAACTCCGGCTTGCAACTTAACTCTGCATCAACCGGTACATGAGTATGACAGAGTCTGCAAGGGAAAAGATGAGATCACTAAGCACACCGAGGCAATGTGTAGGGCTCATGGACTCTTTGTTTGATAACTACAACAAGGATGGGGATAAAGTCTCTCAATGGTCTTCTTTTGTCTGTGAAATAGTAAGAACAACAACGCTAAAAAGTCGTCTCTGACCACATTTCAACATAATTGTTAAATCTTGAACATTCATGTCACTTTCTTTGGTTTTTCTCTCTTTTTTGGGTCTCATATCTCATGTTCTTTATAGATATGTTATGAAGAGGTCAATTTTTTGGTGTTTGATGTCTTGCTTCTGTTCTTGAGGAATTGGAAGCATCTTTATCAATGTGATTCATTTTGTTCAAACCATGAAAAAATCTTTAAGACTGCTATATGTTCAAGATCCTATACTTTGGTTCTGATCTTCTTAGCCCTGTTCTTGAAGGTTTCACCTGTAATTCAAAGTATATACAACAGTAAACCATAAGCCATTTAGTCTAGGAATAAAAGTAGAAAAGAGATAAAACATACATCCACCAAGTCTAATCAAACTTCTTAGCAGTAATTGCCAAATAAATCATAATCCTAACTAAAAAAAAAGGAAAAAACCCGAAAAAACCGCCATCTATTTTTTTTTTGGCCGTTTAATACCTGTGTTTTTAAATTTGGAATAAAAATACCTCATTTAGTTTCGATTGCCTTTTAAAACTATCGTTTTTTAAAACTTGGTAATTTCGAACCCGACACTTAACAGTCGTTACTGGGCGTAACGGAATTATTTAACGGCGTTAAATTTTAACCGGCAAAAAACCCGAAAAAACCGCCATCTATTTGTTTTGGCCGTTTAATACCTGTGTTTTTAAATTTGGAATAAAAATACCTCATTTAATTTCGATTGTCTTTTAAAACTATCGTTTTTAAAAACTTGGTAATTTCGAACCCGAAACTTAACAGTCGTCACTGGACGTAACAAAATTATTTAACCGCGTTAAATTTTAACCCCACGAGTTTATATAAATATATACTATCTGTTTGCATATAAATATATACTATCTGTTTGCATGTTAGTTTTGTAAACCTTAGAAGCTGGGTTTGACTCTTCAAGACTTCAACCTCATTTTTTTTTTATTAATTTCTTTTTGTGTTCTTCGTCTTCTTCGCCGGTGGTGACGACGACTTCTTCTTCTCAGATCTCCGATGATGCAAACTAGTCTCTCTCTCTCTCTTTCTCTTCTTCACTCGAATCTCTTTTTTGATAATGGGTTTTTGCCGAGATCCATCCCATTTATGTATAGATCTGATCTGATTGATGTCGATTTAGTTGCTGTTCTTTTTCAATGGTAGATCTAATTGCAGAATCGATTTGTTGAAATCGCTCTATGATTCATCTTTTGTTTGCATTTCGAGTCTTAACTTTGTACTGATGGGAAGTTATTCGAAGTGGAGAACAAAGAGAAAAAAAAAACAGGTTTAAGATTCAAACCCGGATCTGGTGGTTTAAAAAAAGACACACGCTACCACTAAACCACATTGACATTCTCATAATGTGTTGTGAGCAGTTTGTATATATTTATATAAACATGTGGGGTTAAAATTTAACGCTGTAAAATAATTCTGTTACGCCCAGTAACGACTATTAAGTCTCGGATTCGAAATTACCAAGTTTTAAAAAACAATAGTTTTAAAAGGCAATCGAAATTAAATGAGGTATTTTTATTCCAAATTTTAAAACACAGGTATTAAACGGCAAAAAAAAAAATAGATGGCGGTTTTTCTTGGTTTTTTCCCGGTTAAAATTTAACGCCGTTAAATAATTCCGTTACGCCCAGTAACGACTGTTAAGTCTCGGGTTCGAAATTACCAAGTTTTAAAAAATGATAGTTTTAAAAGGCAATCGAAATTAAATGAGGTATTTTTATTCCAAATTTAAAAACACAGGTATTAAACGGCCAAAAAAAAATAGATGGCGGTTTTTTCGGGTTTTTAGGAAAAAAAAATCCCAGACTAAAAAATGGAAACAAAATTTCCCGAACCGTGTATAACGGCTAAATTATCACCGAACCTAAGGTTGGTCCGTTGTGTTTGCTCTGGACTTTAACAAACCCTAAGTGAAAAGGAAAAAGGGAAACTTTAGAAGAAAAAAAGGAAACTTGAGTCTCAAACAAATAAGTTTATAAATACATGCGTCTCGCGTTTCGCTTCTCGCATCTCCTATCTCCTCTAGTTAAAGACGCAATTTCTCTGTTTTTTTTTTCAATTCCCTTGTTCGATTTCTCTCTGCTTCGAGATGATGATGCTCTGACTCTTTCTTCTCCCTTCGTTTAGAAAGAATCATTCCAGTCCAGAAGTCAAAGGCCAAGAAAGACTCATACATATACAACGGCTCTCTCTGTTCACTTAAAAAGCTATGAAGAAGACGAGAGATCACACACACACAAGCATCACGTCTCATATAAACGACAGAGAACTTTCTTTATTTGTTTGCCTGCGATGATAAGATCTATGTCAGTCACTACGGGACTACATCTCACCGTAGAAACAGAGCGAGAGAGAGAGACGATTCGGAGTTAGAGGCTACATGTCGCCGGAATTTAAGGCTTCGGGAGTCATGATGTTGGAGGTTCTCTTCGGCGACGGAGATGGCGATAGATTGAGGAAGTGGTGGGATCGTCGGAGAATGGGGATTCTTTTCTCCGGTAACGGTTAGATATGATCGTATTTGCGCTCTCTCAGAGGCCCAACAGAAACAATTCCAGCCCATCAAACAATTGCCAGGTTAATTTTCAGCCCATTTTCTTCTTTAATTCAGAAAATTAATATATTTATACTTTTAAAGGTTTTTTTTTCTTTCTCACTGATCTTTTTTTTTAAAGCTTTTTTGCAACTTTTATTCAAGTTTTTGTTTAAATTTCGTTTTAAAAAAATCTCATTAACTTTTTTTTTTTTTTTTAACATCAATCTCATTAACTTTTTTAGAATTTAAAAATAATAGAAACTTGGATAATAAATTTACAATACGATATGAGAACTAACCGGATTTTGGATCCCGTCATTCGACCTAGTCATTGATCATTAGCGATTCCAAATATTCAACTTGTTTTTGCATTATTATGTAAATTTATCATACAAGTTTCTTTATTTAAAATTTTAAATTCACTTTTTTGCCAGATTTTAATTTTTTTATATTTAAAATTTTCAATCTTTTTTAAGTTTTTAAAATTTTAAATAACAGAAACATGGATAATAAATTTACAATATGATGTAAGAACTAACCGGATTTTGGATCCCGTCATTCGACCTAGTCATTGATCATTAGTGATTCCAAATATTTAACTTGTTTTTGCATTATTATGTGAATTTGTCATACAAGTTTCTTTATTTAAAATTTTAAATTCTCTTTTTCTCGGATTTTCAATTTTTATATTTACAAGTTTTTTTAAAATTTAATCTTTTTTAAGTTTTTAAAATTTTAAATAATAGAAACTTGGATAATAAATTTACAATACGATGTGAGAACTAATCGGATTTTGGATCCCGTCATTCGACTTAGTCATTGATCATTAGCGATTCCAAATATTCAATTTGTTTTTGCATTATTATGTAAATTTATCATACAAATTTCTTTATTTAAAATTTTAAATTCTCTTTTCACTGGATTTTAATTTTTTTTAAAAATCTTTTTTAAGTTTTTAAAATTTGAAATAATAGAAACTTGGATAATAAATTTACAATATGATGTAAGAACTAACCGAATTTTGGATCCCGTCATTCGACCTAGTCATTGATCATTAGAGATTCCAAATATTCAACTTGTTTTTGCATTATTATGTAAATTTATCATACAAGTTTCTTTATTTAAAATTTTAAATTCTCTTTTTCCTGGATTTTAAATTTTTTATATTTACAAGTTTTTTTTTTAAAATTTCATTTTTTCAATCTTTTTAAGTTTTAAAAATTTTAAATAATAGAAACTTGGATAATAAATTTACAATACGATATGAGAACTAACCGGATTTTGGATCCAGTCATTTGACCTAGTTATTGATCTTTAGCGATTCCAAATATTCAACTTGTTTTTGCATTATTACGTAAATTTATCATACAAGTTTTTATTATTTAAAATTTTAAATTCTTTTTTTTCCGAATTTGAAATTTTTTATATTTACAATTTTTCATTTAAATTGTTGTTTTAGAAAAAAAAAAAAAATTAGCTTTTAAGTTTCTCTCAACCATTGGATCAAACCGTTGCTGTATTACATCAAACCGTTATGAGTTTTGTTTCAAAAAGAGAGATTCCGTGATATTAGCCGTACACTTGTCGCGATCTGAGCCGCGTCTCTAAGGAGAAAGAGAGAGAGATTGCTCTGTCACTGTGTCTCGGTCTCTCCTCTTCGTCTGGCCGGGGTTACTAGTTTTAATACGCAGCGTTTCGTGGAAAGCTCACATCGACGGCCGTTACTGGGAAACGGATGAAATGGAACCATCCAAAAGCTCTTTTCTTTCTCTGCAACAAGATAAAGAAGATTGCGGAGAGAGTCATAAAAAGGTTTTGAGCTTTGATCACTACTAATGGAGGCTCTGCAATTTTCCAGCCATTTCTCCGTGAGTAGAGTTCCGAATTATGTATACTCTAGGAATTCGGAGAAGTAGAGCAACATTTAGCTCTGCATTCACCGGTACCAGCAATTCAGCTTCTCTCTCCTCTAGGAATCCCTCAACGGTTTGGCTTCAAATTTTGCTTCTTTTCTTTTCGTGTTTTTGGGTTTTGTTAGATTTTTGGTTATTTAGTGTTCTTTGTGATGTATGTGTTGAGTAGCGAGAGATATGGAGTTGGGTGAAATCGAAGACTGTTGGTCAAGGAAGATACAGAAGAAGCCAAGTGAGAGCCGAGATGTTTGGACAGTTGACTGGTGGACTCGAGGCTGCTTGGAGCAAACTCAAAGGCGAAGTGCGATTTCTATATTCTTTTATCCTTGAGCTCAAATTAGGAATCTCTTGTAACTTATCAAAGTCATTAGCTTTGTTCATGTTTCTTTAAACTTGAAGAAATGTGCGAAGATGAGTTAAAATAGGCATTGTGTTCATGTATGTCAAGAAAAAGTCTGTCATATATACATAGCTAGACTCTTGGAACGAGGAATGGATTAGAGAGAAATAGTTTTCTATCATTTTAGTTTAAGGGCAGTGTAGTCTTGCCACTGGCAGATGAAGAAAGAATGGGCACGGTTTAAAGTTAGTTACGGTTTTTGAACTTGCAGAGGTTTTGACCAAGGAGAATATTGCCGAACCAATGCGAGATATTGGAAGAGCTCTCCTGGAAGCAGATGTGAGTGGTGTTTCCTTCTGTTTCATTTAGGTTTCTTTTGAAGAATGTGGTGTAAAAGTGATTTAGTCGCTTGGCGGTTTTGTTAACAGGTGAGTCTTCCAGTTGTTAGAAGGTTTGTTCAATCTGTTAGTGACCAAGCCGTTGGAATGGGTGTCATTCGTGGAGTTAAACCAGATTAGCAATTGGTCAAGATAATTAGCAATAAAACCGCTTCTTAATTTTGTTTCATCAGTTGATTCACTCTATGATGATCATTTTGGTTACAATAGTACTCAAGTGTGGCTTATCATGGCTATGTTGCAGATTTTACATGATGAGCTTGTGAAATTGATGGGTGGAGGAGTATCTGAGTTACAGTTTGCTAAATCAGGTGCTACAGTAATATTGTTGGCTGGACTCCAAGGAGTTGGAAAGACAATGGTTTGCGCTAAACTAGCTTGTTACCTAAAGAAGCAGGTATGCCTTTTGAAAATACAGTGGAGATTTTGAGGGGATTGTTAGTTACCCTCTGTCAAATTACACTGACTAATGATATGTTTACAGGGAAAATCTTGCATGCTTATTGCTGGAGATGTGTACCGACCTGCTACCATTGATCAACTTGTCATTTTAGGTGAACAGGTATTGAAATTTTTACGTTTGAAGCATCATGTGCATTATTAGAAACGGCTTAAAAACCAAAATTGGGATATGTATTGGAACGACATAAGATATGTTCGGGGAAAATCTACTGAGAGTCTCCACCGCTAGATCATCAGAATCTGGTCAAAGTGATCACTTGTGCCATACTGCCATTACATTCTCATTCCTTGCGGTCATGGCAACCAAAGTGTTTGTTTTGTAATTGTTAAAGTGTATGCTTCAAAGTGTACAAAGGAAAGATTAGTGCTGGAATCATTAGGAAATTACTTAAGTCATTTCCAAAACGAAAAAGAAAACTGACTAAACTCAGTGTCACCGGATAGGGTAAAGTAATTTCAAATTAATTAGTTTCACCTTAGAAAAACAAAAAAACTTTACTTGAAGTTTAAAGTGATTTGGCATTCTTCTTGTTAAGCTCATCTTTGAGATTCGACAATGTCTGCTCCAGTGATAAAATTTTAGCAGAAGAGTTGATTTGCTCCTGGTTAACTTCAATTTTGAGATTCTTGATATGTTCTGCCAGGCTTTGGACTCGATAACCATCAACATCTGCTATCTTCCTCTCCAAGGAAACCTCATCAAGCTTTATTTTCAACCAGTCTAGCTTGAAGCCCGCTTCTGTTAGCTCGATCAAGTCGCTCTGAGAGTTGTTTAGCTCAGTCTCGGTGATGCTATGTAGAGGCTTGTTCAGTGTCTCGATTAGACCGAGGAGGATATTCATGTACGTTGTCTTTAGTAATTGGTTCTTTGGTTTGAAATTCACTGCAACGTCAGGGTGTTCCACGAAAATCCAACTCACTGAAGCCACCTGAAAGATGCAATTATGATAACTTGCTAGAGATATCCAATCCTACGAGATTAAGCATCATCGTTGTAACCATACCTGAGAATAAAGAACTTGGAAACCATTGACATCTAACATCTCATTCCCAGTTACAGATCCTTCATCAACAACTTGAGCTACTTTAACTTGGACATTGAAGATGAATTTATTATTCTCCAAAAACCCTTTTTCTTGAAGCTTTTCAAGAGGCACGGCCTTGGGCCAACCCATTAGTGGGATCTCAGCGCAGAACAATTGGTAAAACGGTTCTGCAAGACAAAACCAGAAAGATTAAATTAATTTTATTATTTCCTCTTCAACAAGCATACATATGCATGCAAGAGATATATAATTAAGTAGTAGTAAATTGCCATGTTTTCTGTAGAGCTCTTTGCCCGATTCATTCAGTAGAGCGATGGAAAAAGCAGCTAGTCTTTTCCATCCAATTCGCAACGATTCAGGATTCGCAACGCAGAGGTACATAGACAAGTGATCATCAATGTGATCTCCTTTGGGATGAACCTTAACATACCTGAAAAATGCACATATGTATACATATATTCAAATTAAGGTAGAAAATATTGAAGATATCATAGAATTCAGAATGAAGATTCGGAAGTTTCCAGATCAAACAAGCCTAAGCTAGATGATCCTCTTATCTAACGAATATAAATACTATAGAAGAGGATAGGGCTGGCCCTGAGTTTCGTTGGACCAACGATTTTGGGAGCCGATGATCCATATAATTTTTTGTTGATTTACAGTTTTGGGGCCTAATTAATGATCTATGCATATTAGCTCTTTAAAATTGAGGGGCCAAAGCCAATGTTTCGTCCGGCTCCCTAAGGGAGAGGAGTTCGCTAGGGTTAGCCGTTCAAGCAGGTAAAAATTCAAAAGCTTTATTTTCTTTGAAAGAGTTCTGTTTACTCTTACATCGGAGAGAAAATACGAGGAGATTAGTTTTTTAATTAGTTCTTAGGTTTGAAATCTTGGATGTCAAACTAACGCTAGTCTTAAGGTTGAATAACACCAATCAAAAGAGTTGTAATTTTTCGATCCAAGTTCATCTGGTTTTTCAGTTATATGTTGAATCTAAACGATGAGTTAAGAATCACAACACACATGATAATCTTTTCCTTTACCATTCGCAGCCGCCGCTTAAGAAGTTTGTTGTTCTAATCACAGATTCCTTCTCGGAGAAGTTATCTATCTCAAACGTGAAACTCGTCGGCTTCTGATCCTCCATATCTCTTTAAAAAAAAAACACTTTTTTTTCTTAGCCTTTGTTACTTGGAGCAAAAGACGTCTCTAGTTTCTCACAAACTTGTATATGATCCTGCACCCATAAATCGGTATATTTATAAAGCTTTTCTTTTTTTTTTCGCAAGAGGGAAATATTATTAAACAAAGGCAGTTATACATGGGCTAAAAAGCCCCACAACAGTAAAAGATTACAGAAAGTCTCAAGCCACAAGAGGCCCATCAGAGAATCTACTGTCGTTCACAGAAGAAGAAACTGAATTTTGACTCTATCCCGTAATACGTGTAGTCAACTGAAGATAGACATAAACACGTGTCAGATGAGCAGTCGAAAGCAAACCGACTTCAACCTTCGCCGCTGGAGCTTCGATTCCGATGAAGGAATCACCGTCGATAAGACTATCGAACATGGATTCTTATGGGTTTCTCACCGGTATTAAACAAAGAGGCTCCAATAAAGATACAACAGCGAATTGGCAATGATTAATAAGCGACGGATTCTACTTCTTATCTTCAACCTAATTCTCAGATCCCTGAATTGATTTCTGCAAATTAAAACTCAATGGAAAACTGGTAGGAAAAGAACAGTAGTTAGCGAAATTGCTTACACTGTAATTACCAACACAGCCCATATGAGATTATTGAAAGCAAACTAAAAAAACAGACACACAAAGGAAAGCGACCGATCTACGTCGGTGGAGGGATAAACCGAAAGCCAGCCATACGCCGCCATGGAGACGCGACGATGCTGGACGGGAAGCCGGACATCTCTACTATGGAAGCCAGACAATTCCGGACATAAGCCAGCCAGCTTTGCTGTAGTAGCCAAAAACTGCCGGAAAAGAGCTAGCCAACGGCGAAAATAAATCCACCGATGCCAGACGAGAAAACCAGCCACCGTCGTTGAGGTAACCGACTGTGCTGGGCATGTGTCAGCCAACGCCAATGAAGAAACTGGCCGTTGCCGGTGCAAAATTATTCGCCGGAAACTTTCTCTCTCTAAAGGATTAATTAAGAGAGAGAAGAGAGAGAAAGTTATATCTGATATATTCCTGATATGTCAGTATTTATAAAGCTTTTCTAAATCTACTATATAAAAGAAATAAGGAAAATTGCTGTAAAAAAAAAGAAAGATATCAGGGAACTTTAATTAAAGTTAAACCTACAAGATTTAGTTAGGTTTAGGGTTAGTCTTTGGTTTAGGGGTTGACTCTGTTTTATTAACTCTCTAAGTTTTATTAACTCTCTAACTGCTTACTGGTTTAAGTGAGATTAATTGAACCAAAAGGGCCTATGAACTTGAAGATGGATTCCAAGTGGGCTTGCGGAATGCTGAGAGAGGAGGACTAAGTGATTTAAGCTGGCCCATTCTAACTTGTCATGTCAAAAATTTCTGTATACAGGATTCATAGCTTCAATTGTAGTGGACTAGTGTTTGTGATGTGATGTTTCCTATAAAACCTGACCGGGTTATCGATTTGGTGATAAAATGTGTTATTAATTGTCTTGAGTTTGTCTTCTTAATTGGATACTCAAAAGTCTGTGATTAATGTCTACTAGTATTCATACCAGCTTACTATTTTCTTTTTCCATTTGCAGATTGCATATCATGGTTGAATCTAAGATAGCAAATAAGGAGAAACTTTCACAACCTTTCTGCTATAGATCTCTCTCTTTATTGGCTATAACAATAACAAAACTCTAGTCACAACAAGACACAGAAGATCAAATATCTTAAGACTTCAAAGCTAAACAATACTTAATAGATTTAATGGAATTTCTCTGAAGAAACTAATTAAATTTTATTTACAAATGCGGTCAAATGTGTATGCACAAAATCAAAAATTACATAGAGACAAGTCATATACAACAACCAACGGTGCCAAATATTTATTACAAAACCAAAAGAGAGACAAGATAATATCCCTAAGATCCTGAACAGAATCATCTAAAAATTCTATATAGAGAACATCATCATTGTGTAATTCAAAAGAAAACTATATAATAAGATCAATCTTAGCTACTTTTCGTTCTTGAATCTTGAACAAGATCGTTGTCCGAATCGATTTCTAAATTTCAGATTTCTATATAACTAAATCTTCTGGTGAAGGTTAGCTAAGTGTACCTGACTGCATCACAGGGAAGAAAGACCAATCATTGCTATTCTTCGGTGAAGCTCTTTGTTCATCAACGGTCAAATGTTTCTCATCCGTGCCGAAATTGAATTCCTTATTCGACCCGAGAGACGAATGATTCATTGATTCTGGATTTGATGATGCTTCAGGGAACGTTGTTCTTAGCTTCTGATCCACGCATCTAATGACATGATCCGCGTCAAGATCGAATGAAACCGGTTTATGCGGTCTCACAATCTTCTGCTCTCTAGAAGGAGTTGTAACACCAGTCTTTGGACATTGCAATTTACCAGGACTCAACAGCTTTGGAGGATCAGAGACTTGAAAGTGAGGGAACAGCGCGGTTTCTCCATCGGGAAAAGGAGAAGTTGGACCAGAACCGGATACAACCGAGCTCGGGGAAATAAGCTGACCAAGTGGACTACCAGGAGGAAGTTGGTAAAACTGAAACTCATAACTAGACGACATTGGGAACTTATGACCATAGCTACCGGTTTGATGGTTCGAGTTAAAGAGCTGCGCGAAAGGAACTTCCGGTGAAGAAGGTGTTGTGGTAGTTAAGTAGATAGATGATTCATCAAGAGGAGGTGTGATTGGAGCTGAAGATGGTTCAGTAGTGTAAGTAGAGAAAACCGGAGGCGATACTAATTGAGTTTCATGAGCGTAAGGTCCAATGGCGAATATCGAAGGACGGTTATTACAAGGTAAAGGACTAAAAGAGAGGATTCCTACAGGTGATTGTGTAGCAGAAGGAGGTTCTGATTGGAAAAATGAAGCTGGAGATGAAGGTGGAGCTATAAAAGGAAGTGTTGTGATAACCGAACGATAACCGGAATTTGATGTTGAAATTGAAGATGTTGATACCGGTTCAGGAACAAGAACCGAGTTTCCTATTCGTTTCCTTTGTCTTGAAGATCTGAAACATTTCAACAGACTCCATCGATTCCACCATTTTCGTTTCTTCTGATTTCAAAAAAATTGTAAAAAGTACCAAAATCAGATTCGATTTGAATGATCGGAGAAGAAAACACTGTTTAGTTCCATAGAAATCGAATTTGCCTACAAAGTGTTCGATCTAATGCTTAAGAGAACAATCATACATACAGTTTCTGATTTAGCTAATTGAGACGGAGAAAGACTCACCGGAATCGGAGAAGATTGATGAAGACGATCATCAGAGGAAGCAATAGCTGAAGCAGCTGCGTTTATAGTATCGAAAACGTTGTTTCCACTAGCACCGCTTCTCATCTTTCTTCTGTGTTTTTAATTTTCTCTGAGTCTGATAATTTTCTCGAGAAAACAAAAAAAAACAGAGCGTTCGAGTTTTTCTCAAGTAAAAATCAATAATAGACACAAAACTTCTTCAACAATCAAACTCTGAAAAATCCATTTACAAATAAAGCGACACGTAACCCGAAATTTCTGGGAATATTATTGTTTCTCTTCCAGAAAATACATATATACATGTATATATATATATATATATATGTGTGTTCGTGTGTGTCAAGGTTTGAGGTCAAAACACGGCAAAGACAAAGTTCTTTGTAAATTTATACGATCATTAGGGGTAATTGTGTCTATTGACTTGCGAAAAATTTGACTAAATTTTTTTTTTCTTTCTCTAGTTTAAGTTTTAAGATATCATTATTTTATTTAAAATATTAATTTATCTACTTATTTAACTTAAATATTTTTTTCACTTATTCCTTTTTTTCCTGGAAAATTTTACATATTTTTTTTTTGTCAAATTACTTCTTTTTTAAGAGATTAGTGAAGTAAATTAAGCTATTCTTAATACGAAAAGAAGATATTTTGAGGAAAACAATTTTAAGATATTTTTAAGTAAAAATAAATGAAAATGACGATACTCCAATGAGAAAGGTGACACAGAAGCGCACGTGTGGGAGAATCGAATCTATCTCTTTTAGTTTTAGGTTTCTCGTGTGCACATTAAGTGTGGGGCTAAACTAAGTAATAAAGTAATTAAAAATTTATAGATTATGAATAAATAAATAAAATGTCACAACGCAATTTCAACTTGTTTTGCACGGTGGCTTGACTTTATATTTTGGGTCTTATTTACTTTTCTCTATCCCATGTCCAATAATAAAGCGACTTTTTCAATTTTGGTGAAATATTTATGTAACCAATAACTACAGTAGTTTTTGGTTTCATCTTTAAATAATACGAACTGTGGTAGCTTACTTTGTTTAAAAAGATTTAATGCAATTGACTGATTCTTGGTTCCAAAAAGGGGAAAATTATTATTGAAGCATTTACACAAAAAAGGAAGACAGGCAGAGAGTTAATGTGATTTAATTTTGCAATAATGTTTAGCTGTCACCGATTAAAATCACTAAAATCTAATAAAGACAAACTTATATTTTTAACATTTCAAAAAAGAAAAACTAGAATTTTAAGGAGGAATTTTGGCAAGGAGATAGTTGGGAGTTAGAAGAATTAAATTTAAAGAGTTAAACGTAAAAAGATAAAAAGAAAGTAGAAAATGATGAGGTTTATGGCCAAGTTTAAGGATACATTTGTCATGTTTTTTTTTTTTTCTTGATTGAGATTGATAAGCATTTGCATTTCACCTACTTTTGGGAAAGTATTTTTATAAGAAAATATCTACATAGCTAATAATTATCTGGTTTAATATTTTAATCATATTGATAAAAATACAAAATCATCTCTTACTAAATTAATAGTTAGCTGAAAACAATTTAGGCCTTCAATTTAAATATTTCTATCAACACCTATTTCCATTTTTTTTTGTCGGCATCATCATCTAGTTCCCTGGTTTGAAAAATCGTTAGGCGCTAGTTGGGCGCTAGGTATGGGCCTAGCGATTAATCGGAAAATAGGACTAAAATCGGGGATTAATCGGGGATTAGTTTTAGGATTATTTTAATATTTTTAAAACATATTAATCAAATATTGTTTTCAAAATTGCAGTAAACACATAAAACTGTATTTTTGAGATAAATTTTTATGATTTTTATTACAAATTTATGATTTTTATTAAAATTTGAACATAAATTATTGTAAAACATCACAAACTCCCAATTTAAATAATTGAATAACAAAAATAAAAAGTTTTTTATACTTGCAATCTAAAAATAATCGAGATATGTAAATTAGGCGGAGAGTAATCGGATTAGGCGGGAAGTAATCAGATTAGGCGGAGAGTAATCGGGTAACTGATTTTTTAGGAAATTAGTCATTAATCAAAGCGGATAGGATGGACCTAGCGATTAAGCGGGAGTAATCGGGCCTAGGCGGGGATTTTTAGAACAGGGTCTAGTTCCAACATAAGACACCAATTTATCCTAAATATATGTCAATATGTCATCTTTGTTTTCGATATTAATAAATTGTTAATTCTTCTAAGGAAATCTAGACCTTCGAAAGAAAGTTCATAGTTCATACTAGAAGTCTACTTTTACTAAATAACAATCTTTTTATAAACAAAACACAAATTATTTAGTTCGTAGTTATATTAGGAAAGTGAAACTGAACTTTGGGAATAAGATTAAAGTCGTTTTCTGAAATGAAAACAAAAGAGTCACGTCGTTAAAAGTTAAAAACACATTATTGTCCGTTTAAGAAAATATAATTTTTTTATGAAATCATAACTTGGATTATTAGGACCTGTCGGAAGTTCAATGAGTTAGGTCATCAACCCCACTTCCGAACTCATGCTTTTGACACGTGTAACCAACCAACTTTGCACTCATAGATTTAGTATTTTCCTAACAAATCTAAAAAAAAACAAATTTTCAAGACTAATTATGAAATGAGGATTTTAAAGTGAGAAAATTAGCTGTTATCCTCTAATTAAAATTTTACAACGCAGATAAATTATATGTATTCGTGGAGATAATAACATGACACCAGATTTCACGTGCATCAAAGCTGGATGAAAAAGGAACAACAAGTTTACGTGAGATTTCTTCTAAAGTAAAAGCCATACCAAAGACAATATAGAATAATAAAAGTCAGATTATATAAATCTACTTTAAGATTCGAACTTATCAGAAAAAAATCCATTACTATCAGCTTTATAAGAGCATCTCCAAAGGCAACCTCAAATATTCAAATATAAGGTTTTTGGTTCTCCAAAGACAACCTCAAAACCTCAAATTTGAGATTTCATCTTTTTTTATTTGCATTTTGGTCCTCATAATTATTTATATCTTAGAAATACTTTTACTAATTTATTATTTTATCATATTAGTCCATAAATGTTTATGTTTTATACATAGAAAGTTAATTTTTCATATAAAAATAAAGAAACACTTTAAAATAATATAAAATATTACATAACATTAAAAACAAATATTACACAATAACAATATTACATTAAGCAAATTTATTACACAAAATAAAACAAGAAAAGAAAAGAAAATTACATAAATTTGACTTGGACATTCAGTAGTAAACTTCCCGGATGCTACAGCAGAAGCTGCAGCCAACGGCCTGTATAAATATATGTATACGTTCTTCCCCAAAACCCAAAAGGGAAGAAATATAAACTGGACATACCAAACTCTTGTGCAGATCCTCAAATATTGCCAGGTTGTGAAGATGAAACCTTGATGACCAAGTTATGGGGCAACAAGATAAGCACACCTTGACTCAACTCAAGTTCCAACGAAGGTTGATGTAGATTAAACCAAAGTTAAAAATGCCTTAAGGACCACAATGGGAGGAAACGGCTACAATGCCAGCAATGAAGTTGTACTTTTGTGAGTTCAAATGTTAAACGTGTGTTTTTCGTCTAATGCAATCGCGATTGTTGGTAGCTGCGTTGGCGATCAAAAAGTGACGCGACTGCGTTAGGTCATCTCAGGGAGCTGTTTGATGTTTTACGATAAAAAGGGAACATATGAGGTGATGCTTAAAATTTGGACCTTGATTCATTTGACACGAGACTTAATCGTTTGCCAAATGTTATCACCGAAAGTAAACTAGTAGTTTTCGCCGATTTTCAGGATTTTCTGTCCAAGATCGTCGTCTTCAGAACGACAATGAACCGTTAAGAAGCTTGTTGTGTTGCAACTGGTTGCTTAAAGTGACTTTGACTGCTCCTATCAAGGGGGCACCATTGCTTAATTCATAGGCTTAAAAGAGTCGGAAATAACATGAAGAGATTGTTCATTTTTGTGTGTGTGATACTTTGGGAGATAGAGTAAATCTCTTTGTTGGGTATACTTTTTTGAATTTAGGTCTCTTATATTATTGTCTTGGTCTTGACTCGGGTTAAAGGGGGGCTGATTTGTAGTTATAAAAAGAATAAGTTGATTTCGCATTTTGTGGAAAGCTTGGGGTTTATTTTGTTGGAATCTCATCTTTGATTAACCATGCACAAGAGATTATAAGAGAGAAAGATGGGAAGGTGATGGAGAGAACAAAGGTAACATCAGAGGAGATGAGAATAATGGGTCAAGGAGCACTGAGTTTTATGCTGGTTCAAGAAAATGTGAAATTCTCCCAGCTGACCCTGGATCTTTGCCAGTGAAGATAAAACTTTGTATTCAGATTTTAAACTGCTCTCAGAATCAACAGACTGGAGATTCTGACGTTTTGATCCAATACAAGCACCAAGATGTGATTTGCTACATCCCATTCCATATCTGCCAGGACAAATGAGTTCAAGTAAGATTATCAGCTCAACAAACCAACCGTAAACATATGAGAGTGGTTAAACGTGCCGAGTAGTCTTTAATATCCCCCTGGTTCAGCTTTTCCAATATTGCAAAAGCAAAGCAAACAAATTTGGGCATTACCTTGAGATGTGAGGGTGCTGCCAATGAGAGATTGGAACTCTCTCTGGTCATTTTCATTCTGAGATCCAATATCCAGATTGCTTTCTATCTGTCTGATTGGTTGAAACTTTGACCAAACATATTATTAATCTGACAATCAGACAGACCGAAAGCAATCTAGATATTGGATCTCAGAATGAAAACTAAAAGCAATCATTACTGAATATGGCGTAATGGACGCATTCTCTATAGATTCTCCAGCAACACGTGTTGCTTGTATCCTGTGTCAAACTATTAGCATCAAGACTCTGACTCAACATAACAACACCCACTTAAACTAATTTTTAAATTAATGATATGGTTTTTAGTTTAAAAAACGTTATTTTCTTAAAATTTAAGTGTGTTAAATTTTGTTTTAAATTTTTGTCAAAATCATTATTATTTTAAAAAAACGAGTTTAAGTGCTAAATTCTATATCACGTGAAAATATGCCGAACTTCGAACACCAAAGCTTACGGACCAATTAAGGACATGATGCCTAGGTGCGGTTAGTTTCGACGTGTTTAAAATTTAACACTTAAATTTTCAAATTTTTCTAGTGAAATTGACATGGATTTAGTTTAAAAACGTTATTTTTCTTAAAGTTTAAGTGTTAAATTTCTTCTAAATTTTAGTCAAAATCACTATTATTTTTAGAAAATGAGTTTAAGTGTTAAATGACTTAAATCTATATCACGTGAAAACATGCCGAACTTCAAACACCAAAACTTATGGACCAACTAAGGACAGGATGTTTAAGCGCGGTTAGTTTTCAACGTGTTTAAAATTTAAGTGAAATTGACATAGTTTTAGTTTAAAAAACGTTATATTTCTTAAAGTTCATGTGTTAGATTTGTTTCAGATTTGAGTCAAAATCACTATATTTTAAAAAATGAGTTTAAGTGTAAAGTTTTCACATAAAAACATGCGAACTTCGAACACCAAAGCTTACGGACCAACTAAGGACATGATGCCTAGGTGCAGTTAATTTTGACGTGTTTAAAATTTAACACTTAAACTAATTTTTAAAAATATTTAGTGAAATTAACATGGTTTTAGTTAAAAAATGACCTTATTTTCTTACATTTGTTTTATTATTTTTAGAATTAAGTTTAAGTGTTAAATCTTAAATCTATATCACGTGAAAACATGCCGAACTTCGAACACCAGCTTACGGACCAACTAAAGACAGAATGCCTAGGCGCGACGTGTTTAAAATTTAACACTTAAACTAATTTTTAAAAATTAATATGTCGTTTTTCTTAAAGTTTAAGTGTTAAATTTGTTTTAAAAAATTACTATTATTTTCTTAAAGTTTAAGTGTTAAATTTGTTTTAAAAAATTACTATTATTTTTTAAAAATGTTTAAATGTTAAATTCTATATCACGTGAAAACATGCTGAACTTCAAACACCAAAGCTTACGGACCAACTAAGGACACATGCATAGGCGCTTCGACGTGTTTAAAATTTAACACTTAAACTTCTAAAATTTTTTAGTGAAATTGATATGGTTTTTGTTTTGGTTTAAAAACGTTATTTTTCGTAAAGTTTAAGTGTTAAATTTGTTTTAAATTTTAGTTTTAGTCAAAATCACTATTATTTTTAGAAAATGAGTTTCAATTTTTGAAAATGAATACGCCTAGGCAAAAGTGTTAAATTTTTGAAAAATTTTAGTGAAATTGACATGGTTTTGGTTTTAAAAATGTTATGTTTCTTAAAGTTTAAGTGTTAAATTTGTTTTAAATTTTAGTCAATATCACTATTATTTTTAGAAAATGGGTTTAAGTATTAAATCTATATCACGTGAAAATATGCCGAACTTCGAACACCAAGCTTACGGACCAAAGGACAGGATGCCTAGGCGCGGTTAGTTTTCAACATGTTTAAAATTTAACACTTAAACAATAACATGGTTTTTGGTACAAAATTATTTTCTTAAATTTTAAGTATTCAATTGTTTAAAACTTTAGTGAAAATCACTACAATTTAATCTATTTTTTTTTAAAATAAGTTTTATTTATTTAAATGTTTTTACTGAAAAGTTTTAAACTATTTAATTTTAGTTTTACTTAAAATAATTTTTAAAGAAAAGAAAAAAAAATACGAAGAAAGTATAGCATGGATTTGGTAGCAAAGAAGACTCAAATTACAAGAAAGTCAATTCATTTGCAAGCTGTGTAGGTGCAGGAGGTTCTAAGAAAACATTTCATGAACGCTAAATTATTATTAAATTATATGCTCACAATCCTTGTAAAAAGAGAGTTTCCATTACCTGGATTTATTTTGTTATCAGTATAATCCTCGTAAGTCGCAAATCTCTTCGCCGTATTGATTATCAAAATTCTCCTATAATCAAAAATCAAATTGCACATGTTACTAACAGAATTTCCACATGTTTTTTGTTCATACGTTAAAGAAAGTGGGTAAATTTTAAACAAAGAAAAAAGAAAGTTGGTAAAAAAAACCTATGCCGGAATAAATGAAAACTGACAGAGAATTAAGGAAATTTTTTTAAAATTCCATAACTAAGTCTAACTTTGTAGTCAATATTTCCCATGAGTAAATCGCAGACACAATTCTGATTAAGTCAACAAAACGATATTTCTTGAACAAAATGAAGAAGCGTTTAGTCTTGAACAAAATCGAATGAAAAAAGTATACACACTGTCTCGGCCATAAAGGCATAAACAGAGGAGCAAAACAGAGAGCATTTGTGGAAACAAAAGCATCAACAAGTGGAAGTAGCTAATTCTAGATATAGACGACAAACGTAAACTATAAATAGCAAGCAATAAACGTAAAAAAATGAAATCACAAATCTAAAACGTAGAAGAAACTGAGAATCACTAACGAAAACATGAAGATTATATCGAGAGAAAAGAGATGGGAACAGATCATACAGAGTTGGGTTTGTGATTCAGAGTAGGGTCGCTATAATCTGAAACAGGATCTCCAGTGCTCCGGGAAAAATAACTGCAAAAGAGACGAAAGCGATTCATCATTAACTGAAACTAAGAAACCTTAAAAAAGATGAAAAGAAAATTTTGCTAATTCAGCGGTGTTTAACCTGATTGATGGTTCGAGCAGAGCATGGTCGTGACTTATCATAGTGAAAGAAGATGGAGAGAAACGTGGACGACGTGGTGAGGTTGATGTCTCTCTCTCTCTCACTCTCGTTCTCTGAGCAGAATAATAATTGAAATTTGAAAGAGAAGGAAGAGATGAGTTTTCTGAAAGAAAACAAACTAAACCAGGCCAAGACAAGAGCATTATAAGGCCCATTATTAGCCCAAACATTTCACCGCTTAACAGACGAAGGCCCAGTGGCTAGTAAATTCGGTTTGAATTTTTAAGAAAGAAGGAGAAGCGGCAATAAAGAGTTCGAATTTTGAATTCTGCTGCGGCGTCTCTGTGGTGGTTTCTCGTTTCGGAAAATCAACGGTGTAGCAAGTCGGAGATGCAGTTGAGATTTAGCCATGGACAGGAAGGCTAACCTTCCGGTTCAACCGGATAAACCTCCGAAGAGTCTGGTTCGTCGGTCCCATTTGACTAATTTAGGGCTTCTTTGGGTTTTAGCATTTTTCTCATCTCTTTTGACGATTTAGGGCTTTTTATAATGGTTTACTGAGTTTTTGGGATTTGTGGTGTGACCGTGTGAGTGATAAGATAAGCTTGTTAAACTTTTTGATTATGGATAAGAACTCACGATTTTGAGGATGCCCATTGTTCTTATTGGTATCTCTTATAGCTCTTTACTTGAGAGTGAGTTTCAATGGATCTCTTATAGCTCTTTTTTTTTCAGGTAAAATGCAGACGACCACTATCGGGCCTCCACAACGACAAGCTTCAAGAAATACACGTTTGGTTACAGCTGAAGGGCAGAGATCTCAGGATGTTGTTGGTTCTTCTAAGTTCCAAAATTGTCAAAAAAAGGTGAGAGAGAAGAGAACAACGAAGAAGAAGCTCATGAGTATTTATTAAAAATTTAAAACAAGTTTTCAATTTATGTTGTAACCTTAGATGATGTAACTAACATTCACGTGATTCTATTATGTATGTTTTTCTTCACATGAGACAATCGTTTCGGCTAGACTTCCATTATCGAATTTGAAGAACATTTGGGTGTTCTATGCAGGGCCGGCCCAAACTATTTGAGTGCCTAAAGCAAAAATTTTTTTGGCCCATTAACAAAAGCTGTTATAAAAAAAAAATAAGTTTTAACATGTATGGGATTCGAAACCATGACCTGTACAACAAAAGACTTCAACCTAACCACTAGACCACAATAACATTTTAAAAATTGATGCCCTTAAAACTACTTATAATTATTTGATGCCTAAAACCCTTGCTTCATGGGCTTTACCCATGGGCCGGCCCTGGTTCTATGCTCTAGGAGGGGTGCCGATAACTGGATTGTCTGAGAGTGGCGTGCTAACATTCTTCCCGAGAATCCTGGGATGGAGTGTCCATTTTGTAGAGAGGATACTATTGAAAGTCCCGCCGAAGAGTTTATCGGATTTCATGTTTGTAACCATATCCGTACATAAGGCTCATTCGTGATGTTTATTGTTCTGTATGCACTCAAGTACTAGGGTAATGAGGAGGATTATGAACTTGGTTGTTTGTTTTGTGTGTTTGCGATTTGGTATGTCTTAGTTGCACGATTCCTAGTTTAATCATGTTGTTGTAATAAACATGTCTAATAACGGTATTGTATCACGTTGAAAAATCTCAGTTGGATACAAGAGAGGGTTAAAAGAAGACGACAACCACAAGACTAATAGAAAGTTCATCAGAATAATGTGTATTTTGATTCAAAGAAGAAACTTGTTGGTGCAAAACCGTCAGATGACTTTGTTGGATTCTCATCCGGAGCTGACAACGCTTTGCGAGATAACCAAAGCAATTCTGAATCTTAACTCGCCAGTGATGCAACAAGATGAGCAGATTTGTTGGGGTGAGGAGGATGATGATGGTGAAGTAATTGTTTCCAAGCCTCTGGTTGCTGAGAAGAGGAAAGGGGCGCCTGATCAAATGGAGGCATCAAGTTGCTACTATGGGGGATTTGAGTAGTTCTGACGCAGCTTTTCATGAAAATGTCTTGCTAACAAGCTCTAGGCAATGCAAGTATTCAAGTACATGCATCTGCTGGCTCTAACCATCTGGTTCAAACACAGGCAGTGCATCAACCTGGAAAACAGACAAAGGGATATATAGAGTCCATATGGAGCAGATGCAAGCATTCAAGCAATAAAGCATTTGTAATGAAGGACTCAATTTAGTTTCCCAGACTTGTAACCCTATCAACACCTTCTAAACGTGTTTGTGGATACTTGACTTAAAGTCTGGTGAATGTTAATCAGTAATACTACATAACTAAATTAAAGCTTGATATAAAGCTGAAAATGACTACAATAATAGAATCAGTAAATACTACCAAGCAATTCAAAACAATTGTTTGAAAAAAAAAAAAATGTAGAGTTTAAATGGAGCAGATTCAAGCGTTGAAGCATTAAAGTATCTGTAACGATGAACACACTTAACTATCCAAATGCTTGGAACTGTATCAAACCCTCTATAAGTGTCGGTGAATACATGGCTTAAGCTTGGTGTTAAATTACAATCACTGGTCCTATTTTTAGAAACGTGGAGAAGATGAGAGGGAAAAGAAGAAGACAAAGGTAGACGATCTAACCTCAGGATAAAAATGGTTCTATTTTACCATTTTTATCGTAAGACATGTTTTGACACCACTTAAAACTTCACAACCATATGGATTCTGAATTTTAATATCCTAATCAAGGAAAGACTGCGCTCCAGAAACATTCTATATGTAGAGTAGAGAGAAGAAGACATACTACACTCTCTTTAGTAGCTCAGCTTTAAGTCAGATACAAGCAGCATAATCTGGCAATGTTATTGTTTTGGCTAATATAATTCAAATACAATGCATAAAGAAAACATATTTCATTTTTATTACCAAACCTGATCAAAGAACCAGAGGAGATCATGTTATACAATTGAAAAAGAGTTTCATGGGAAGAAGATCTAAAGAGACCAAAATTTAAAACACAATAGTAGTGCAGTTTTGAAGACATATTTACAACACATACACTTACCAAGAACATTGTTTCGGTTTTGTATTTACGGTTTCTTTTGCCATAATCCTCGAATTAATCAATCAGAGCAATGTAGTATTGTTATATATAGTCCTAATCTGCAACTAATTACTCCAATCTATATGTTTACAAAGATATAAATTGTTATGAATGAGAAGACAAACGTACCCGATTCGGCAGCAGCTGCAACAAAAGTAAGAAACAGTCTTCACTAAGAGACCAAGATCTCACAAGAAACATCAAACCATAATCATACTATGAACAAAACAAACATGATCGAAAAGCATATCTAACAAGATTTTGTCCAATTGGCCTTCAGACAACACAACTCATTTTAAGAGTACCACATAGATAACATGATAACAGAGAAGTTAACAAGTGTATCGAATTTGTGGGACATCAGAAATGAAATTGATCCAGCAAAAAATTTAGCATTGGAGCTCTACTGCTAAAGATATAAATATGAATGATCTTCCATTCTTTCATTCATCCTCCAATTGATGATCCTGCAAAGCAAACACACAAAAACAGTCAGAGGGAACTTTCATCTGACTTGGACATTCAGTAGCAAACTTCCCCGGATGCTACAGCAGAAGCTGCACCCAAAGGCATTGGGAAGTGAACACTTAATAAAAATGTGTCGAGGACATACCACGCTCTCCTGCAGATCCACCAACATTGCCACTGCCTTTCGTAGGTCTTTCTTCCTACATAAGCCGGCCAGCATACTGTGGAAAGTGATGTAATCTGGAGCCACACCACTAGAAATCATCTCATTGAGAAGGTTTTGAGCGGCATTAAGATCACCTATTAGACAAAACCCATGAATCAAAGTATTGTAAGTAACTGTAGTAGCAACTATTCCTCTTCGATGCATCTCGCAGAAAATCTCCATTCCATCGTCAACCCTTTTAGCCTTACAATAGCCATTAATTAGGGTACTACAAGTAACTACGTCCGGAGAGCAGCCCTTGCTAGCTATCGAATCAAACATACGCTTTGCATCATCTAGACGATTCAGTTTGCAAAATCCATCGATCATTGAGGTATAAGTGATTGTATTAGGAAATATACCCCTACGAAGCATCTCCTCGTATAATTTTTCAGCCTCAACGAGCTTCCCTTCTTTGACAAATGCGTTGATCAATGCACTGAAAGTTACAACATCAGGATTTACTTGCCTTTCAATCATATCACGCAACAATTGCTTGGCATCACTCCATCTACCAGAGCTACAAAAAGCGTCTATCATACAGTTGTAGGTAAGAACATTGGGAAAAATTCCTTTGTCATGCATTTCAGTGAAAAGATTTTGAGCATCGATATAACTTCCGTCTTTGCAAAGGCGATCAATGATGGCACTATAGATCACAACATCAGCTGTGACGTGGTTTTCTTCCATCTTCCTAAGCAGATTCAAGGCCAACACAGTGTTACCCATCTTACACATTCCATTGACAATTGTTCCGTAAGTAACCTGGTTAGGTTGATGACCTTCTTCTACCATCCGATCAACAAGAGCTAGTGCTTCAAGAACTCGACCCTCACGGCAAAGACCGTTCATCAGTGTTGTAAACGTTACGACGTTGGGTGTTAATCCAGTGTCAACCATATGATCAAATAAAGCAACCGCTTCAGAGATCTTATCTTCCAGACATAATCCGTGGAGCAGCGTACTAAACGTAACAACATCGGGCTGGAAACCAAGTTTAGTGATCTTCCCGAATGTAGACAAAGTAAATGACAACTTATAACAGTCGCAGAAACACTTTATGAGAATATTGAAGCTGTAGATATTACCTGGAATCCGGCGCATTTCCATCTTTTGATAGAGAGAAATCGCAACATCGGGTCGTTTCATTCTCACGATGACACCAATTACTTTATTGAAATCAACTGCCGGATACAAGGGACGAGATCTAACCATTTCATCGAACAAATCGATCGCATCATCTAAGCTTTTAAGATAATGAAACCCACTTTTCAATTTCAATTCCTCTCCTTCAAATGATGTTCCTCGGCTCAAAGAAGGTAGACTCTTTGATGAAGTTGTACTTTTCTTGTAGACACGACCGTGAATCAACCTCGTACTCATCAATCTAGCAGAAGATTCAGATCTCCAAATACGAGCCAACATTCTGCTTCGCCTCGACCTCTGACTCAGATATGGTGAAGAGTGATTATATAAACCCTAACTCGCAACAAAAAAAATCAAACAGAAGAAGACCGACCGGTTCAATGAACTCTCATGTCTCGAGCCAGGAGACCAATGTAGTGGACTGGACTAGGCGACGACGTCGTTTTCCTGCTTTTTTTTTTTTTTTTTTGACAGCAAAATAAGTTCATCCATTCAAGCTAGAAACGGACGTTTTCTTCTTGAGAAAACCAGTCCGGTAGAGAAGAGCTTACATGAAAAGATAAATCCGCGTGATCGTGCCTTTTTTGCGAGATAGTCAGCACGGATATTGTTGCTACGTGGGATAAAAGATAACATAAAAGAGGGAAAAAGAGACTTCAACGAGCTAAAATCTTCTAACTCCGAGACAAAAACAGGCCACTCATCGGGAGTGTCTAAGACTTGAGTTAACTCCAAGCAATCTGTTTCAAAGACAGCATCAAGAATAAAGAGAGTAGTAAGCGACCTCATTGCCCAAAGTAAGGATTCAAACTCCGTGTGAAGAGGGGATAAACACCGGCGAAAACTCCTTAAACCAATATGCTGCATATTTCCATTTGACTCAACAATCCTGCTTTTATTTTCATCAATTTCTATTTTCTTTTGTTTTGATCCTTTTGGATAATACTTTTATTTAAATAATGATCAATTCAAGACAAACCAATTTGGTTTGTGTGACTGACCAACATACATATTTCAATATAAAAACTAAATCCGTACTTATTTCTTCAAATTCCTTTTTATATGATTTTCCGCGTGTTCACGGATAATCTTCTCTTCGAAACAAATTTTATTTTAATTCAGACATATAATAATGTAAGACAATGGTTTACCTACTTTCTATGAGCAAAACTTCAATCTTTGAAGCCAAGTAAATTCGAAACTGATCAAGCCACAATGCCATCTGCAAACAAGGTATACAGAAACTGCTATAACAAAAATAAAACACACATCAGATCTCACTTGTTACAACCTTGATTTTTCATGAACTGGGGAGGAGCATGTAAGAAATATTTCATAATGTAAGAAATATTTCATTTCTCTATTATGTGGTCGTATAGTCGTAGTTGGTTTTCTATAAGAATTGTTATTCCGTAATGTATAATTGGTAACCTAAACGAGTTTTCCGCTCATGGACAAGTGGCGAATATGCAAGAGCATACGCATTAAAGGCGAACGACAAATGTCACAGAATGGCGACATGCGTCGCATAACGGCGACAAGTGTCGCGGAACGGTGGCAAGTGTCGCGTAAAGGCGACAAATGTCAAGGAGTCGCGACAAGTGTCGCATACTGACGACAAGTGTCGTGGAATGGCGACAAATGTCGCATTAATTTTTGCATGCGTGACAAGTGTCACGATTTCGATGTGCATGCGTGACAAGTGTCACGATTACGATGCGCATGCGTGACAAGTGTCACGATTACGATGCGCATGCGTGACAAGTGTCACGGTTAAGATGCGCATGAGTGACAAGTGTCACGATTACGACATGTGTCGAACTCCTACGCTTCCACTTGTCACACATGCCTCCGGCTCTACTTTGATGGACGGTCGAGATCAATCCGGAGAAAACCCTAAAAGCGGATCTTGGTCCTCTCTCCACCTATAAATACAAGCCTTTAGTCCATCATAAAGGTAGTTCCAAAAATCTTCAACACTTAGAGAAAACGTTTGTAGGCCAGGGGAGAGAAACCGAGACTCCGACCTTAAGTTTAAAGCTTCCGTCTTCCATTCAGGAAACCGTTCAGGAAGACTTTTCCGCTGCAATGAAAGGAGGTATTCTGCTAACCCTCTTTATATTTCTATTAAGTGATTGTTGGTGTCGGATCCCGCACCAAAGGTCCAGGACCAACAAAAGATTGCCACGTAGTCAGGGTAACGGCCCATAAAGGATAAAGCAATTATACCCACAAGTCAAAAGAACAGTCGAAGTGGTTTTCACCATAAGAAGAATCCGAAGTGACTGCACCTCGACACGAGTCCGGAGACGAAGTCATGGTTAAGTCAGTCCAAGGACATTTGGGCCAAAAGGCGAGGCCCATGAAGATCAGAATCAACTCAAATTCAAACGTTAAGCATTAAAAGCAAAGATCAAAACAGACACATTTAAGAGAGAATAATTGTACTTAATTAGCCACTTAAATATTGTTTTTCTATGTATAAATATAAAGGCTAATGGCCATGTATGGGGGATCTTTCTCTGGAGTAAGAAATACTATAGCAATTTTTGTGGCAATTCTTAAGCTTTTTACATATTTATTTTTGTCCCTCAAGAGTAATCTTTCCTACTTAATAAAATACTTGAGTGTGTAAATCCGACATCCACATTTTGGCGCCGTCTGTGGGGAGAGAGGATTCTTGAGTGGTCAGACTTTTCCTTACTACATTTCCGAGATAAGCAGCAATGTCCGGAGGAGACGCCGTTGAGTCATCATTGGCTGAGACCCTCAAAGCTATGCAGCAAACCATGTCGGACATATCACAAAAGTTCTCGGATGTGGAAAAGGCCGTCGACACATTACAAATATCCCAGGTATCTCTTAGTTAAAACATCAGTACTATACAAACTCGTGTTCGTTCTTTAAGTGCAGGAAACCCTGTGGGTATCCGAAGAAGGATACTCAACTCGCCAAGTTCCGCTGCGCAAAATGAAACCAGCGGACAAACAACTCCTGGTGCTACTAATAATGTAGTTCAGCCATTGGAGGAGGAGACACAGCTTGAAGATGAAGTTCAACTTGCAGATCAATACGAGCAGGAAAACCTCGACCAGTTCGAGACTATAAGGAAGGTTAGCCAAGATATCAATCGGGTCATTGAAGAAGCTAGGCAAACACCTTTCGTTCTGCGAATCGCAAGTTTAAGAATCAAAGATTCTCGGAAGCTCAAGTTGGACCCTTACAGCGGATTAGAGGATCCGAAGAGCTATCTCGCAGCTTTCCTAATAGCTGCCGGAAGAGTCGAATTGGATGAAGCTGATGAGGATGCAGGGTACTGCAAGCTCTTTTCGGAAAATCTATGTGGCCAAGCTCTAATGTGGTTCACCCAATTCGAGCCGGGTTCGATCAGCAATTTCGACGAACTATCAGCTGTGTTCTTAAAACAATATTCCATCCTTATGGACAAAAGTGTTTCGGATGCCGATCTTTGGAACCTGTCACAAGGGTCAAATGAGTCACTTCGAGTTTTCATCACCAAGTTCAAAGGAGTGCTGTCAAAGCTCCCAAGAATCTCGCAGCAGTCAGCCTTATCTGCTTTACGAAAAGGACTGCGACATGATTCAAGGTTTAAAGAAGATTTAATACTTCATAAACCAGACAAAATTCAAGATGCACTCTTCCGCGCAAACAACTGGATGGAAGTAGAGGACGAAAAAGAAAATTTCGCCAAAAGAAATAAGCAAGAAAAGCCGGCAATTACCATCCCTACCAAGAAGTTCGAGCCTAGGGAAAGCAAAGGACCAAGGAAATTTGGGTCGCAACCCTTTAACGGTGCCGTCGGAAAGCAATTCCAAGGGAAAGGAAGGTCAAACACTTGGGTCCGTGATGAAAGTTTATATTGCGACATTCATAAAGTAACTGGACATTTAACCAAGGATTGTAGTGTCCTCAAAAGGCACCTCGCGGAGCTTTGGGCTAGTGGAGATCTTTCCAAATTTGATATAAAAGATTTTGTGAAGGAATACCACGGAGCAAAAGAAAATTCCAAAGATCAGGAGTCCAAAAGACCAAGGTTAGCCAACAAGGAAGAACCAAGGAGTTCGAAGGGTAAGATCAATGTTATTCTAGGAGGTTCCAAATTTTGTCGAGATTCGATAAGTTCCATCAAAAAACATAGGCGAAATGTTTTACTCAAAGCAAGTTTGAGTGAAGAAGTCGATTTTCAAGGTGCATCGATATCATTTGACGAAGAAGAAACGCGGCACCTCGAAAGACCTCATGATGATGCATTAGTCATTACCCTGGATGTTGCTAACTTCGAAGTATCAAGGATACTTATCGATACGGGCAGTTCGGTCGATCTAATCTTTCTAAGTACTTTGGAAAGGATGGGATTTAGTCGGGCAGACATTATAGGGCCTCCATCTCCGTTAGTGGCATTCACAAGTGAATCAGCCATGTCCCTCGGAACAATCAAACTACCAGTCCTTGCTAAACGGGTGTCAAAGATCGTGGATTTCGTTGTCTTCGATAAGCCCGCGGCTTACAACATCATCCTCGGGACTCCCTGGATTTATCAAATGAAAGCAGTCCCCTCTACATATCATCAATGTATCAAATTTCCAACATCAAGAGGAGTGGAAACAATTCGGGGAGATCAAGAAGCTTCACGGACGTGTTATCTAGCTAGCCACCGTATGAAGATTCAATAGCAATTAACGAAGCCCGCAAAAGAGGGACTAAGAACAAAATTTCCTAGCGGGCAGAAAAAAGATGATGTTATAATCGAAGTGGTGTTGGAAGAAGACAAACCGGACCGGAAAATTCGAATTGGGGCAACTTTGACTGGCCAAATAAAAGAAGCTTTGATCGAACTTTTGAGAAAAAACATAACATCATTCGCATGGTCAGCGGCAGATATGCCCGGCATAGATCCAAGCATAATTTGTCATGAACTAAACGTGGATCCAAGCTTCAAGCCGGTGAAACAAAAAAGAAGAAAGCTCGGAGTGGAGCGAGCAAAAATAGTAAATGACGAAGTGGATAAACTTTTGAAAATAGGGTCCATAAGAGAAGTGCAATACCCGGAGTGGGTAGCAAACACTATCGTTGTCAAGAAGAAGAATGGGAAAGATAGGGTTTGCATCGACTTCACAGACCTCAATAAAGCATGTCCCAAAGACAGTTTCCCGCTCCCGCATATAGATCGACTTGTAGAATCCACCGCTGGGAATGAGCTGTTAACATTCATGGACGCCTTCTCGGGTTATAATCAAATAATGATGAACCCCGAAGACCAAGAAAAAATGTCATTTATCACTGATAGAGGTATCTATTGTTATAAGGTAATGCCTTTCGGTTTGAAAAATGCAGGGGCAACTTATCAACGGTTGGTTAATAAAATGTTCCACCATCATCTCGGGAAAACAATGGAAGTCTACATAGATGATATGTTGGTTA